TCTCCCAATGGGCCTTGGGCAGCTAGATTTTTTTTTAAATGGAGAATTTGCAATAATGAGGTTACAATGTTTACTAATACCATGAAGTGGCTTGCTTAAATGTATATCCATTAAGTGTTTAAAACACTTTCTGTAAAAATTTTATTTCATTCCCAATCATCTGCAATTACCACCATCATGGAGGGGGGATGCATATAAATTGAACAATTGACAAACGACCTGCTTTCTCAGATGTTCAAATATTCTTCCTGTGTTGTGTATAGAAATAAAATTCTGTAGTTTGCTCTCTTTGCGTAAAATAATTCTCAGCAATATCACTATGTCTCATGTGCCACTGATTAAATCTTGAATATTCATGCAGGCCTTTAAAAACCTTCTCCTGCTATGCTCCAACCTAATACTAAGAAATGAGTTCTAGCTCTTAGGGAGGAAGAATAACTGCCAATTAAATCAAAGCTGTTGCTTATCAATAAGAGCAAGCATGAAGAAAAAGATCAAACTGAAAGAAGCAGGCAAAGGTAGAATAAGTTCCCAGCGACATATAAATGTTCTGTTGGTCTAGAGCCCAAAGAGACTAATATTCAAGAAGTGCTGGATATCTTTAGCCACCAAACATCCCCTGTCCTTACAAGTCTTACTGGGTAAACAGGCTACCGAGTCCTGGATGATGGAGGCAAAGATGAAAGAAACACAGCAGGGTTGCCCATCAAGAAACCCAGAAGATAAACAGACATGTTGTCAAACTGCCTTCTAAATACTACGGCTATGCATAGATTAGTGCTCTCTCACTTGGCCAGAGAGAGCCCCTGAGTGGTACGTCAAAGTGGAGACACTGATAACTGGTCAACATGGTGAGGATAAGTGACTGTTGGATGCTCAACCCGAATGGGACAGCTACACCAACCCCCTCCTCAGGGGCCAGGGAATGTCACAGTATGGGAGCAGAAAGAGTATCAGAGCTGGAAGGTCAGCATGACTGCTGTGAAGCACTGTCTGCAGATAGGCCGTGTCTCTTCCACTAATGAAATTGCTGCAGCTAGGGTTTCATGCACAATGCTCGCTCAGGGGAAGCCAATGATGTTCTAGCAGGAAGCACTACTTAGACTCAGTGGATTACAACAAAATGTAAGGACATGAAGGTGAGAGAGGGGCATGGAGGGATGTCCAAGGGGAGAGAGAAGGGGAAGCTGGGGTTGAGTCTATTGGAGACACAGGGTAAATACAGGAAATTGTCAAAGAAGAAGTAATAGGCTTTTGGGATGAAACCTAGCAGAATAACGAACAGTTTCCTGGACTTGGTTTTGATAAGTTCTTCCTCCACAGACAGAAGAATGGATTGACTTGACTGCATGGCATGCTCGCTCCAGACCAAAGCATTTCCTGTCTCTTTGTGATGGAATCAGACAAACCCCAGACCATAGATATACCGGCCAGTGTTTCTCAATCTTGGGACTATTGACATTTTAGATAAACAGTTATTTGTTGTTGGGGCACAAATTCTAGGGCCTTACCCATGTACAATATAAATTGGGCCGATAGTTGAAAACAATTTCTTCTTTGGTGTTCTTGCTTCTTTTTGTTGTTTTCCTGGGGGGTTAGTGTGGCAGATATGCACACTTTATGTTGCTACATTGTTTTCCAAAATGCTGGCAGTTTTGCTCATTTCCACTAAAAACATTGGAAAATCATCTTTCTTCTAGATGTATTAATTTTGTTATGATTTCTTTCTGTTTGCCAACCTGGTGGGGAAGCAGTGATTTATTTATCTGTTTGTTTGTTTGTTTATCTATTTAGACAGCGTTTCTCTGTGCAACAGCCCTGGCTGTCCTGGAAATCTGTAGACCAAGCTGGCCTCAAACTCACAGAGTTCTGCCTCTCACCTGCCTCTGCCTCCTGAGTGCTGGGATTTAAGGTATGTGCTACCACTGTCCAGCCAGAAGTGATTTTTCATTGTGACGTCTGTACACTGTCCCAGTAGTAATGAAGTTGAGAGTCCTACATGCAACAGCCATTCGTGTGGATTCTCATAATTAATAAGTATGTATTTACATACAAAAAGAATTGTAAGAGTCTAAAATGGTGAGGGTGAGATGGTTGGCTGCCCCTGAGAAAAACAGATGTAGTTAAAGCTTGAGTTCAAGGGCTTATTACTGCAGAATTCTTTCTTGCGAGGGAATGGTCAGCTTCATTGTTCTATCCAGTCCTTAACTTATTGTGTAAAGCCTGCTCACTACTATACAGGTAAACTTCACCTAAGGATCACAGAAACATCTCAGGAAGTGTGTGGCTATATATGGGCACTTTGGCCCAGTTAGGTTGCCTATTAATATTTTTTTATTGAGTGATCTATATCCTTTTATTCATTCCAAGCCAAGAATATTAGCCAAATCAGTGTGTTGAAAATATCTTCTCAAATTTCATATCGTTAATTTTATGACATGGTTTCTTTGATATAAATTTCCTTTGGGTGCTTGTTTGGTTTTTGAAACAGGATCTCACTGTGTCGCTCAGGCTGGCCTGGAAATCACTGTTTAGACCAGGTTGGCCTCAAACATGAGGTGTTCCTCCTGGCTCAGCCTATCAAGTACTGGGACTGTAGGCCACTATGATGAGCAGCATATAACCTTTCAAATTATTGATTTAATATTTTACGATAAATGAGTAACGGGCTCACTAAAATTTAGTTGAAAAATTACACAGAACATGTGGATGCCATCAATCTGATAACCACTTTGGATTTCTAATCTTCTAAGTTGACCTCAGATGACTTTGTGGTATTTATTGAAACCGTTCCTGTGCTTTCAATGCTTAAACAGTTCTCGGAAGAAGAAGCTTTCAGGAAAGGAACCCAGACCAACATCCCCATGTGTGAAAAGCACAGTTGAGGGGGTCTTCGAGTTCAAACTCATTCAAACACATGCTACATGCTATTATGCTTGATTCTTAAAACTAGTTGAACGCATTTCAGTGGGTCATGTTCTAAGGGCTTACATTCATTATAAGGCATCAGTCTGTATACAGAAAATTTCATTCAAATTTGTTTAAAACAGTCTAAGCCAATGGTTCTCAACCTTCTGGTTGCTGCAACCCTTTAATAAAACAGTTCTTCATGTTGTGGTAACCCCCAACCATAAAATAATTTTCAGTGCTATTTCATAACTGTAATTTTGCCACTGTATAAATCATAATGTAAATATCAGTGTTTTCCGATGGTCTTAGGGACCCCTGTGAAAAGGTTGTTTGATCCCCTAAAGGGATTGTGGCCCACAGGTTGAGGAACACTTGTCTAAAGCAGTTTCACTAAACATATGTCTGCACTCTTCTTTAAGTTACTGTAGAAAAGCGTAGTTAATTTTTATTTTAATCGGACTGAAAATATGTACATGTATTGAGGAAAACGTTCTGTTAATTTTATGTAAAGGCTTCTCCATTTACTTTGATAATACTTATTATCATATCTAATATCATCAAGTTAGTATAGTTCTACATTTAATCATATTATTTTCATCAAGGACAAAAAAAAATGTGTAACGTAAGTTCTATAGCCTTCGTCGGGCGGTGGTGGCGCACGCCTTTAATCCCAGCACTCGGGAGGTAGAGGCAGGCGGATCTCTGTGAGTTCAAAGTCAGCCTGGTTTACAAGAGCTAGTTCCAGGACAGTCTCCAAAGCTACAGAGAAACTGTCTGTCTTGAAAATGCAACTATATTAAATGTTACTTTTCAATTAATTTATTCATCTTTGGTGCTAGCTTTGTTTTTAAATGGAGGCTTTCATTTCTCATGTGGAGTTACTTCCTCCCTACTCCTCTATATTTATGGTGATACCACTTTCTCTATCATTGGCTCCTGAATGCAAGTAAAATATTTTTAAAATTCATTTGCCTTCTAAACATATAGGTCTAGTTTTTAACTTGTATTTGAAGACTGATTAACAGCATGATTAGGCAAGAGAAGGAATGGTGTGAAGCGGGAACAATTTTATTGTTGGGGCCTGATAAATCTTTTCCTTAATGGACAGTTTTGGTATGAAAGCATCTATAATGGGGGACCTGCAGAGCCTTAGGGCCTTAGACTTAGTTGTTAATTACTCATGTTCTTATATTACTTATAATAATATTTAATATTTTAAAAGAACGTTCTTTTTTTTTTTTTTTCGAGACAGCGTTTCTCTGTGGCTTTGGAGCCTGTCCTGGAACTAGCTCTGTAGACCAGGCTGGTCTCGAACTCACAGAGATCTGCCTGCCTCTGCCTCCCGAGTGCTGGGATTAAAGCTGTGCGCCACCATCGCCCGGCCGTTCATATCTTTTAAAAGATGAGTAAATTCCAGGACGTTGGGATTAAAGGCGTGCGCACACCTTTAATCCCAACGTCCTGGAATCAGAGGCAGATACATCATTGTGACTTTGAGGCCAGCCAGGTGTACATAACAAGTTCCAGGCCAGCGGAGGCTATATAGTGAAAGATCACGTCGTGTAAAACCAAAATAAATAAATCCATGTTGAAAAGTCACCTAAAATCAATCTGGGAAGTGAGAGCCACACAATAATCCTCCTCAAATAAGAACCTTTCTGTTTTGTCTTGAGACAGGCCCCTCTGCGTAGCCCTGGAACTCGTTTTGTTGTAGGTCAGGCTGGCCTCGAATTTACGGAGATCAACCTGCCTCTGCTTCCCAAATGCTGGGATTAAAAGTGTGCGCCTTTAATCTTTCTGTCTCTGTCTCTCCTTCTTACCTCCCTCCTCTCTCTTCTCTCCCCTTTCCCTAGAAAGAAGTTCCTAGCCTGTTGCTACAAGCTGCTACGAAGTAGTTTGGTCCTACAGAACTACAATTCCCAGCATGCTGTGGACCACCGCGGTTGCAGTGCACCCTGGGAAGGAAGTGTACCGCTCTTTCCCCCCACCCCCACCCCACTGGCGACGCGCGCATGTGCGCTGAGACTAGGCAGACCTCGCCCGGATGCTCCGGAACTCATTTTGTATCTTAGACGTAGTAGCCGGCGGGATTAGAGAACATTTCTACTTCCGGTGCCGCCGGAAGCAATTTTGCGATGGCAACTTCTGCGGACGAGCCTGGGAAAGCAGCTCGAAAAAGTGACTCTCAAAAGCCGAAGCAGAAGCGCGAGAACCAAGGTGAGACAGTGTGAGAAGCGAAGCCTGGAGCTGGTGGATCTTAAAACAATCGTCTTTTGTTTTCTTAGCTGTGGACGTGGGTTAACTCCTTTAGACTGTGACTGCTCTCAGTTGGGATTGCTGATAATTGGGGGGTGTGGACTGCGCCGGCCACGTGTTTCTAACCCAGTGCTTTTAGGGGCACCCCTGACAAGGAGAGCTGATGTGTATTCTGTCTCCGGTAAAAACACGGGGGTTAGGAAATTGTGGAAGGTAGCCGGGCGGCGATGGCGCACGCTTTTTTCCCCTGCACTCAGGATGCAGAGGCAGACGGATCTCTGAGTTCGAGGGCAGCCTGGTCTACAGAGTGAGTTCTAGGACAGCTAGAACTGTTACACAGAGAGACCCTGTCTCCAACAAACAAACAAACAAAAAAGAAGATCTAAAGAAGTCGTGAAAGGCGACGCAGTATTTTGTAGCGCTCTGCGCAGAGGCAATTAGGAGGATACGAATCGGGATCAGGTGGGATCAATAATCCTATGTACAGTGAGCACTGATGACGGAGTGAGGAGGTCGTTAAAAGGTTGGGGCTGAGCGAGCTGGGAAGTTTGTCAGAACTTTTATCTGATTCCTAAATTACTAGAGGACACAGCTCAGTCATTAGCTTTGACTGGTAGTTTGATTTTTGATGCCCGAGTTTGGTTACTCTCTTGCGTTATTGTTTTTTTTAACCTACCTTCAATATGAAAATAGATCCTAAAGAAATGTATTTAAAAAGTTTTTTAATTGTTACGTTTTAAAACTAAGTACGTAAAGCACGGCAGGGACTATAGGCATCCGTAAAAGATGAAACTAACGCTTGAGGAACCGACAGACTTTTAGGAAGAGTTCACGTTTTCCACGCGTCAGTCACAGGGGATATTTTCCTTCTTGGTACCCGGAGTAACTAGTCTGACTCGTTCGAGCTTGCTGTTACGTTTCTCCAGCCGGTTATCGTTATCATTTTCAACACAGTGCTTTGGTTTTGCCTCAGCAGAATGAAAGGAAACTCGTATGCCTGCAGCATCTTAGCTTCTCCTTGGTTATTAACCAAGGTGATGTTTGCAGGTGTGATTTTTTTTTGTTTTCTTTTTCGCTGTTGCATAATACTGCCTTATATGAAACACCTTTGAATTCTCCCGTTAATGGACATTTGGGTTCTGCCCACTCTTTGCTATTGTAAACACCTTTGTGCATGTCGTCTGGGAATGCCCAAGGATTTCTGTAAGGAACATAGGATTGGAAACTGAGTTGCAGGGTGTGTTCAGGTTATGCTAACACTGCTACAGGGAGCTGGGCCAGGTTTTTTCTTTAAGGGAAGGTTTATTTAGGCACACTGTGAGGGTATAGTCAGCCATGGTGAGGAAGCTCTCCCAGTATGGCTCACTCACAGGTAAGATTTTGATGGCTGCAAATTTACAGTAATTTTATCATTTCAGTCTTGAAAATGCACTGTTTTGAAGATAAGAGATTGTATCTGGTTGTTTTTAATTGGGCATCCCTGTTGAAGTCGCACCGTTTCACATGTTTTGGGGCTATTTATGCTTCCTCTGTTGTGCAAACCTCCTCCGTTTCTTTTGCCCTTCAGTGCTTTGGTGCGTGCCCATTTCCCATGGACTGACTGGTAGCGTTTGGCGTGTTTAAATGGAACAGGGACGCACACATACATTTTACCAGTTCTTGTAGCTTTTAGTTCACATTTTAAAAAAGAAGCTACAGGAGAATGGATGGTCTGTGAGGGCTTGTTCTTAGGATTTCAAACGAAAAATAGCAAAGTGGGTGTGAGGAGAAATGCGGAAAGCAAATTTTCCTAACTGGGGCTGATAACGTGGACCAAAGACCAGCTCTTCAGGCTCAGTGGTTTACAGAGTGCCAGATGAGATCGTTTAAGTAGAGGTTTCTGGCCCTCACCCAGAGATTGTGATTACTGTGTCTCGATGGAACCCCAGACAGCACTTCCCGTGAACTCACACACGTGTGCTGGTGCTGCAAGTTCACGTTGATGGTGTCTTTGAGTAGAGTCAGTGTGTAGCTATTAGATTGGAGTGGTTTTTAAAGATATGAGACAGGGAGTTCTAAGACGTCATGCAGGACTCTCTGGAGGCATTTTTATTTAGTTATCAGTGTGCTAGGCTATTTCAGCTTTTGGCCCTTTGGGTCTGGTAGTCATTTTGGATTGAATATCTTTATAAAGTAGAAATAATAATAGTGGTTCTTTTATTCATAAAATGTGTGTTGAAAGCTCTTTGGAAAATTTAAAATTCTATCACAGTGATTGTTAATTGATGGTATACACCACAATCCAGTTTTAAAACATTTACACACACACACACACACACACACACACACACAGAGACACATACACAATCTACATACACGGGTGCATGCAGATATTCTATACCAGGAAAGTCAGATTATTAAAATGATAGAGGGGTGTTTGAACCATAATCCAGTGCTGTAGAAGTGTCGTATTTGCTGTCTACTGATACATCCCAGTTAGAGTGGATACAAGAAAGGGTGCCCCTGTCCATGAAGAATTTGTTGTGATGAAGCAACTGCAGTGTGTTCACATGGTCTGATGTGGTGTGATGATGATATGATGATGATGATGGTAGAGTCGTGGTCATGATGTTGAATAACGTGAAAGCTGGAGGGGAAGAAATGGAGGCGTGTATGGGGGGCTTATGAAGATGTGCACAGAATATGCACTCAGTGTCTGAAGGACCATTATGATGTGGAATTCTGTCTTCTGCAGATGAGGCGGAACTCCTCACTGTCCCTGATGGTTGGAAGGAACCGGCTTTCTCCAAAGAGGACAATCCCAGAGGGCTCTTGGAGGAAAGCAGCTTTGCGACCTTGTTCCCGAAATACAGAGAGGCTTACCTGAAGGAGTGCTGGCCTCTGGTGCAGAAAGCCTTGAACGAGCATGTAAGCAGGCTTTAAAAGTTCTTTTGAGATTTTGGTCTTGCCTTTGCCTTTACTTTTTGGTTTTTCAAAACAGGGTTTCTCTATGTAATACTTAGCCCTAGCTGTCCTGGAACTCGCTCTGTAGACTAGGCTGGCTTGGAACTCACAGAGATCTGCCTGCCTCTGTCTCTTGAGTGCTAGAATTAAAGGCATGCACTACTACAGTTCAGCCTGTCTTTACTTTTTATGAAATTTGCATGTGCTGGTGGATTTTGGTTTCAGAGATGCTGACATATCTGGTTAGTTTGATTCTTTTTGTATTTAAAAGAACCAAGGTAAACTTAATTCTTAGAGTTTATTTTTTGAAAAAAAAAACTTTGTAACTTTCTTATTTCTTTTTATTTTATGTGCATTGGTGTTCTTTTGCCTGCTTGTATGTTGTATGAGGGTGTCATATCTTAGCGTTACAGACAGTTGTGAGCTATCTTGTGGGTGCTGGGAATTGAGCCCTGGTCCACTAGAAGAACAACCAGTAGTCTTAACCACTGAGGCATCTCTCCAGCCACCTACAGTTCATTTTTAATTTTGTGCATAATAACGTGAGAAATTCCTATAATTTTCATAATGTAGAGGTGTCTCAAACTGTCTGAAGTCACCCGTGACTTCTAGAATTCCAAATGCCTTTTTCAGGTGGTAATGGTTACCATGTACTTGGCCAGGTTGAGCCTGGCCATGTGTCAAGTTTAATTTTAAACAAGAACTGCTGATACCCCAGTGTTTCCCTATTTTTTTCCTGCTGACCATGATTGAGGATTCCTCTGAATGTGTCACAAGTCCGCAAAGAGCATTTTGCTTTGTTCTGTTCAACTGTAGTTCTTGGGGCTGCAGAGATAGCTCAGGTGGTAAAACGCTTGGCAGTCAAATGCTAGGACCGGAAGAGTTCTATCCCCGGAACCCTTGTAAACAGCCAGGCAAGGAGACAGAACCCATGAGCAGCCATGCTAACTTAGTTGGGGGGCTCCAGGCAGGGCCTGGGGAGCAGCACAGGGAGTTGAGCTCTGGGCTCTACATGCTGTGTATGTGAACGTGCACACTCCCTCCGCTCATACTCCCATGCGCACAGAGGAAATTATTTGCTGAACATCCCGTTAATGCTGTTGAGATCAGTGCTCTTCTTTACTGCTGCCTGCTTCTCTGTAACCTGTGATTTGTTCTGTATTTAGTCCCTTAATAATGTAGAAAGAAATTTGAAAGGAAAATCCTTTGTCAGTCTTGGTTCCAATTGCGTCGGTTTCTTATCTCTTGTCAAATATGAAATTAATCCAGATCTCATTATTTGTATTTAATTGCCCGGCGTCTTCTTAAGTGGAAGTTGAAAATTCGTTAGCTCAAAGGCGGAGCGATTGGTAGGTGGGTGGGCGTGGCCTATAACGATGTAAAAGTGAACCCTTTCCTCCTTCTCGTAGCATGTTAAAGCAACGCTGGACTTGATCGAGGGTAGCATGACTGTGTGTACGACCAAGAAGACTTTTGACCCGTACATCATTGTCAGGGCCAGAGACCTCATAAAGCTCCTGGCGAGAAGTGTTTCCTTTGAACAGGTGTGTGTGTACACAGCTAGCTTGGTGAGCTCCTGGCCAGTGAGAGACTGCCTAAAAAAATAAGGTGGGCGCTGCCTGGGAGGAAATGGGGGGGGGGGGGGGCTTGTCAGCAGCTTGGAGTACTCTGTCTTTCCACCTCTCTCGCCCTCCCTCAACTTTCATGTTTGTGCTTAGATTTTATTAGCCTGGGCTTATAGAAAGAATGAGAACAATGTTGACGCAGTTTTTTTTTTTCTCCTGAAAGGCAGTACGGATACTTCAGGATGATGTTGCCTGTGACATCATTAAAATTGGTTCTCTGGTGAGAAATAAAGAGAGATTTGTGAAAAGAAGACAGCGCCTTATTGGTCCCAAAGGATCTACACTGAAGGTACTTGTCATCAGTGGAGCGGGAGCATCTCTGTAATTGACTTCTCTGTGCACTGAGCTTGAATTTCCTGTTTTGATGCAGGCGTTGGAACTCCTAACAAACTGTTACGTCATGGTGCAGGGGAATACTGTTTCAGCCATTGGGCCTTTCAGTGGCCTGAAGGAGGTGAGGACTAGGACCTGTTATTTTTGCCAGACGAAAATGAAATTACTTGGTAGTAATATAATTGTTCCTTGGGTGATAATCATTTTGTATTTTTGGAATGTGCTTTGATTTCTCGTTTGTAAATTGTACACCACTTCACTCCTGGAGTCCAAGGTGTTTTGGGGGAAACCTTTGACAGCTGTGGAGACATCCATTCTGAGTTAGGTCTGTGCATCTTCAGCCGCCCCGTTAGAAGATTTTAAAGGTAGTTCACATCTGAGTAGCTCATGTGGGCATATTTGAAGCACTGAGCAGAGGCCTTGATTTGTAGTGACGTATGCAGCCAGTAGAGGTCAGACTCTGAAAACTTCCCTCAAGCCACATTTTCTTTGGTTTAAGTGTTTTCATGAATGTTTTCTGTACTTGTCAAATGTTTTGAGAATACCCTTGGAGCACATCTTTCTGTCAGGTCTTCACACTGTTTTGAGCTGGAGCTGGCTGTTCAGTTGTTTCCCTCTTGGGGCTCTTTAGTAGTAATTCTGTTGGCCTCTCTTCTAATGGAGCAGTAATATATCAGATATTTCACAGTTTTAAAAGTTTTTGAAAATTTTACATAATTATTAAAAGTAGATCTGAGATATAGTTTTATCTCCATTTTGCAGAAATAAAGATGAAATGGGAATATTAATTGACTTTTACATGATGTGGCAGACCCAGGATGATGATGATCAAATGTCATCAAATCATCAACTATTTTGCAGAGCAGGCAATCAAACCTAAGGCCTTTTGCACCACAGGCAAGCACTCTTCTCCTGAGCTATAGCTCCTGTTCCAGGATTTGAACCCTCCTTACCTTTTGACTCTAAATCCAGCCCTTTTCCTTTAAAGCACTACCTCTGGGGTCCTGGCTGTTGTGTTAGTTGTTTACTATATGGTCACAGTGATGAAACATCTCTTTGAGAAGGTTGACTCCTGATATAAGAGGTCTAGAAGCCGCTCAGAACAATTGAGAAGCTATATCCAGTGTCGCGATTAGTCCCTGACCCATAGGATGTTTTACAGTAAGTTAGTCCTTCTATCCAGTTTATTGAAATCTTTGTGACTGCTTCATTTTCCTTTGTAAATTTCAGGTTCGAAAAGTTGTCCTTGATACCATGAAGAACATCCATCCAATTTATAATATTAAAGTGAGTGCTAATTGTACATCACTAATTAATAATTGTCAGGCTTGACTGCATAAACTGCTTTTGAAAATGAAGCATTCTATGAAAATATAATATGCACAGATAGGGCAAAGCTATTTCGGGTGATTTGGGGGTAGAATTCTCCCCACCCTTTGGTGCTTGTATAACCCTTGTACAAACTAGGGAAGGAGATACTGTCATTTACTGTAGTGTTCTAATGCATTGAAAATAAGCCTCTCAGAACTGACTGTAGGTGATGGCAGTCGCATGCTATGTATCTTTGTCTAAATGTGGGCTCTCGGGTTGCATTAAGGCTTCCTTTGGGATTTAGTGTTCGCATCGTTGCCCCCTTTGGGACAGGCCTGTCCTGCTCCTGTGTGTGCTGTGTCACTGATGGGGCCGGCACGCTGCTGTAGCACAGCGGTCTGTGGTGAGAGCCTGTGGGGAGTGCACTTAAATGTGAAGTTGGAAAGTCACTAAGATTGGGGTAAAAGTTAAACTTTCCATTACTGGGCTTTTCCCCATGCTCCCTCAGTTACTCCTGAAGCATCTTGCCTGCAGGAAGCCCCGCTAATTAAGACTTCTTTTATCAAGTTGAACTTCAGTGAAATGCTGGCAGGGAAGCTAAGCTTCATTTTCATGTTTACACTCAATCCAGATCAATTTCTGATGTTTGGCCAGCTGTGCAGGTTTAAAGTAGACATCCTTGCCATTGGTTCATTCTCCTGAACACACTAGGAGCTCCTCCTTTCTTTTCAGAAGCAGTGTGTTAACAAATGTATGAGTTTTAAAATTTAAAATTTTATTTATATGTATGTGCCTAAAGACCTTGATGATTAAACGGGAGTTGGCCAAAGATTCCGAGTTACGAACCCAGAGTTGGGAAAGATTTTTGCCACAGTTCAAGCACAAAAATGTGAACAAACGCAGGGAACCGAAGAAGAAGAGTGTTAAGAAGGAGTACACACCATTCCCTCCTCCGCAGCCGGAAAGTCAGGTGAGTGTCGTGGTAAATGCCAGGACAGACAGAACTGACCTGGTTTTGGGCATGTTACTGAGAGTGTAGGCTGGGAGTAGGTGTGCAGGCGTCAGGACGTGAGAACTTGACAGCAAGGGTCTGGGGAGTGATCGTCACTTGTGGTAAACTATTGGGGGCTGTGTCAGGCAGCCAGTGTTCTGTATGTAAAAGGAGCCCAGGGAGTTAACGTTTTGTGACCATGTACTGAATCATTTTAGAAGTCTTAACTCCCATCCATTTGCTTCTAAGTTATGGATTCCTTCACTTTTTACCTTCTCTCTGGTTCTTTACGCTCATGGCCAGGACTTCTGTTCCTTTCTTCCCCATCTCTCTTTCATGCGCCTTTGTCTTTCAGCCACACCCTTTCAGCAAAACCCAAAATCTTAAAGTTTAGGCCAAAAAATTAAAGTGGAGAAAAGTCCTATTTTTGGATTGAAGTCACTAAGAATTCGTGTCTCCAAGCTCTCGGCCTGTGTGGCTGTCCTTTGTGTCTCTCCCTCTCCAGCTCCCTCCGACACCAGGCAGACACAAACACTGACATTTTACGGACAACAATTTTTGAGGCCATCAGAAAAGAATGATCTCCCATCACCACAGTAGTCCTTTCTTCTTGCTTGGATTTTATCTATACTTACCTGGAATTTTGTTTCTTTATTCCTTCCCTCTTTGCCTGTACCGTAAAATATCCAGTCTTTACTAGGTTGTTTCTGATAGGAACATCTTCCGTTCCTCACAGTCCTGTGTTGTTTCCAGGGAAAGTCTAAAGGCCAGGGGTGGGAAGTATTAGAGTGAAGATTATCATGAGAAAATGGGAATGCCAGGCAAGGGCATCTCCTCTGGGAAAGGAGGAAAGTGCGACCAGATGGGAGATTGGAGCGGGGGTGGGGTGCCAGTGTGCCATGCTGTGACTTCTATGACTTTGTGGGAAGTCCTGACATTAGGAATTGTGATGTCTCTGACTTTCTCCCTTTTAAAGAGTGCTTTGGCTCTTTAAGATCTGTGCTTCCATGTGGACTGTAGGCTTGCTTTTTCCATCTGAAGAATACTAATCGCTGTGGGTAGCATGGCATTCATCAGTACTGACTCCTTGAGTCCATAGGTTGCCTGGATAGCATGGGCGTTCATCAGGACTGACTCCTTGAATCTATTAGCAAGGAAGAGGCTTTCATCTTCTTTGTTTCTTTCATTAGTGTTTTATCGTTTTCATTGCAGAGGTCTTTCTTAACTTTCTAGTTCTGTACGAACATGTGTACTCTAACGAGTAAGATTGCTTCCAGTCTTGCTGGTCATGTTTTCCAGGACAGCCATGTATGTAGCCCACTGCATTTGTAGATGAGTCATGGTGTAATATGAAAAGATTGGACACCCTTGAACTTAGCAAATTGTTATTGGGGCGTAGAAAAGCTAATGGCTTTGTGTGATCTTTTCCCAAATTCATTCAGCAGTTCTAATACTGGTGTGTTAGAGTCCTTAGCTTTTTCTACATAGTTACATCTGTAAACAGGTCATTTGATTTCCTATTTGCCTTTTTTCTTACCCAATTGCTGTGGCTACAGCTTCTGATGCTATGCTGAATAAAAGTATTCAGAGTGGACATCTTTAGTTCTTGATCTTACAGAACATTCTTTAAGTGTTCTAGTGTGATGCTGACTCTGGGTCTCTCATTTATAGCGTTTATGTTGAATTTTATTAACTCCTTTCACTGTGTCATTGAGGTGACTATGGATTTTGTGTATTGATTTGTGAAGAACTGTCTCTGCAAATTTTAATTTACTGGCCGTTCTTTCATCCATACCCCTGCCGAGTAGGAACATTGTCTCCCCTTGCTCAGTAGAGAAATGTTTTTCTTGGGCTGCTGTTATGGGCTTTTTAATATTATAATACTTACTCTATCTCTTGGTGATACCCCATGCTTATTCACCCCAAAACAGTGAATACGCCTGTTACTTTGACTCTCTGAGGAGGGAAAGGCCCGGCACCTCCATTTTTCTGGCTTAGAAGTTTTTTTGAAACAGCAGTGCCTCCTTGGACCTGTCCTTAATGCTTTCTGTGAGCAGCGTATTTTATCTGACGTGTTCGTGGGTCGGTGTCCTTGTGGAGCTGTTAACAAGGATTAAACCTCAAGAATTAAGACAGTGACTTTGTGTTTCTTCTCTTCTTCCCTTTGAGACAGAGTCTAGCCCTGTCGCCGTGGTTAGCCTCTCTAGGTACTATGACTGCTCAGCCTCACCTGGCTTGAATCCTCATGGCTTCTGTCCGTTTTAAGTTCCACCCCTCTGCCCTGAACCCGTCTGACTCCATTTTCTGAAACCCTGACTTTGGTCCTGAGTTAATGAGCTTGTGTTTCATGAACAGCAGCTTCTGTCCTATCTCCATGCTTGTATTAGCCTCAGCACACACTTCCCTCCTATGTGACCAGCTAATTAGAGTGCTGATTCCACACTGTTAGCCCAGGACGCCGTGGCTTCTTAGGAAAGCACCTTCATCTGCATTATTTCTGATCTAACTGTGAACCCTGTCTCTGATAGATTGATAAAGAGTTGGCTAGCGGTGAGTACTTTCTGAAGGCGAAACAGAAGAAGCGGCAGAAGATGGAAGCAATCAAGGTGAGGCTCCGAGGGTTGCTCACAACATTCCCAGCAAAGTTTGGTGCCACTTGTGTTTACTAACGTGTTTCTCCTGGTGTAGGTCAAGCAAGCAGAAGCTCTTACGAAGAGGCAGGAGGAAAGAAACAAGGCGTTCATTCCACCTAAAGAAAAGCCGGCTGTGAAGCCAAAGGAAGGTAAGTAACTAGATGCATGTCCATCTCACACACCTAGGCAAACTGGTGCGTAATCAGGGCTTTTATAATCTAGGGGTGTTGCATGTAGGTCCCCGTAGCCTCTGCCCTGGGCTGTAAAGATGTAAATTGAGAGCTGTCTGTTGCCTCTATGAAGACAGCTGCCAGGCCGCAGGCCTTTGCCAGCTGTGGCTTGGAAGCTGATATCTGTGTTAGCTCGCACTTCACCTTAGCTTAAAAGCAAAGCCACCGCAAGACTTGATCAGCCTTATTCTGTCCATTTTCTTTGCCTCTGGTGACACTTGTCAGAGCGACCCTCCAAAGGCAGCATTTTTCTTTAAAGTAAATTTCAGTAATTATAATTACTACTACAGTAATGCAGTTGCTTCAGAGTGGAGGTCTAAATGTCTGTACCTCCAGTGACTGGTACATTTTGTCTTTCGAGTCTCTCGTGGTTGGAAAACTGGAAACTACCTTTATAAAAGAAAGTTGCACCCTTTTAAAATTACTTTCTGTATTTAGTTCAGCCTTTTGACACCAGCGCTACAGTTTGGCCTGTTAAGACCACCAGGTGCTCTCACATAACAAAATCATGTTAAATAAAATAAGCCTTGTTAAAATTACTGAAGCTAGAAGGACTACACTGAATACTTTTTATGGAATCTAATTCTAAATTATTTTGTGTGCAATATAGAAAATTATATATTATCTTGCCATTTTATCTGTATGATTTGTTTTATCAAAGTTCTTAGACGAGTCTCTTAAGATGATCTCTTAATTGTTAAAGAAATAATTTGAAATTTGCATATTTTAAAATTTTGCAGCTCCTGCTGAAACTAAGATTGATGTGGCGGCTATTAAGGAAAAGGTTAAGAAAGCAAAGGGCAAGAAACTGGGAGCTCTTACAGCAGAGGAAGTTAAGCTTAAGATGGAGGCTGACGAAAAGAAACAGAAGAGAAAAAAGTAACACTGGAAAAAAACCTGGAACTGAACTTTGAAAGGCGTTTCCTTTTGTAAAGGATTTTGAGACGGCTTTCTCTGCCTTACCTGGCTGTGGTCATGCTCAGGAAGTCATGACCAGAGTGGTGCCTGTTCATGGACAGTCTTTGTAAATACGTTCATATGTATTCTGAAGTTTCTGCGAGACGATAACTACCCATGTACATTGTGCCCAATCAGTCCAGACATTTTAGGAATACCTCTTTTATATAGATTTTTGGAACAAGATTATTGATTAAATCCAATGTCTTTTGCCATTGGTTAGTCTTTATAAACATACCCAAAGCGTTTGGTTTTGAGGAAAATAAATGCAAGATTTCCACTGCTACTGGCAACTATTTTGGCTTCTTTCTCTGTAATTTTATCCAGGATAAAACAACCCACAAACAGAAAAGCCAAGACTCTAAATCAAACATCTCACTTTTAACTCTGAGCCAGAAAAATGTCTATGGGTGTCTAATCTGCATGTGCCCACAGAGGCCAGGCCCTCCACAAGAGCAGCAGGTGTTTTTTTACCTCTGAGCCGATAGGGCGATGGGACTTAGAGTTACCAAAGATGTATTCTGCAAATCTGAACCCCAGGGAATCTGTTTCTTGCTGAAAGCCTACCTGTGGCAACCTAGACAGTCCTTATTCATAAAGAAGAGTTTAACCTCTTTGTACATTTAGGAAACTAAGCGGTTCTTCTAAGGCTTTATTGAAACATTTTTCTCAAATGTTTTACAATAGCCACTTATAAGTTGCCTGCCACCGATGGCATTAGTAGTCCAAAAGAACTAAATTAGGGTATTTGTGCTTTCCCAAAATGGTGATTATAACAGACAGTAAGAGAAGGACCGCCTTAACAATGAGGAAGAGAGATGTGTATCTGTTCCGTAGATATATGGGCCTTCCTGGGTAGTCGCCAGAGTAGTAACCTGTGAAACAGAGTGTGCTTTAGTTTCTCACGTGCTGACCCCAGTCCACAGTGCCCAGTCAAACAGTTTAAAGTTTGCATACTTACGTGAGACACCGTCTCTTCGTGGGTTAACTGTAAAAGCAGAATTAAAAGGTTAGGTTTTGATTTACATCTTTATAACCATGAACTTGTTATTGCTTTAATTACAGTGATGGTGGTAGTTTGAAAGAGGGTGACATGCATAGAAGGTGTGGCTTTGTTGGAGGAAGTGTGTCTCTGTGGGGGTGATATGGGAAGTCCTTCTGTTATGTGTTGCTTTTATTGGTTAATAAGGAAGCCGCTCTGGCCAGTGATAGGGCAGAGTAGGCTAGGAGGGAAAACTAAATTGAACACTTGGGGAAAGCAGGTGGAGTCAGTGAGATGCCATGTAGCTGCTACAAAAGGAGACAGACACCCGAGAGCCTCGTGAGTTAATTTAAGACGTAAGAGCTAGCTAGGAATACGCTAGAGTCATTGGCCAAGCACAGTTGCAAATAATACAATTTCTGTGCGGTTATTTTGGGTCTCGGCCAACAGTGGGAGTGGGCTTTGAGGTTTCCTATGCTGAAGCTACTCCCGGTGTCATAGACCATTTCCTGTTGCCTTCTGGTCAAGATGGAGCTTAGCACCATGTCTGCTTATATGCCACCATGCTCCGCACCAATGGACTGAACCTCTGAAACTGTAAGTGAGCCACCCCAATTAAATGTTTCTTATAGAGTTGCTATGGTCATGGTGTCCTTTCACAACAATAGAAACCCTAAGACTGATTGTCAAAGATCAAGTTTTTGCTATTAATTCAACTTATTCAGTTCATATAAAAAGACTGAAAAAATATGTGAATTTTTGTTTTCTACCACAGTTAATGGAAAAAATATTTACCATGCCACAGCCACCAGATGAATCTTATTTTGGGCTGTGGTTGAAACTAAAGGTTAAAGCATGTTTTGTTTTAAATAATGCAATTAAAGTTACTTCCTAAGCCCCTCCCCAAGAAGAATGATAGATCCTGTTTATGATCCAATGCAGTGGGCCATCTGACTTAGAGAAAGAGACATGACTTTTGCTGAGCTCCAGATTTTTATACTCAGCACTGGGAAAGAAAAGTGCCCTAATTGCTTTGGCATTCTAGAAGCTTTCCTCTACATGGACTGCTATTAAATGCCTGGATGGAACCATCTGGAATTTGTTAGGGCACTCGCCATCACCTTTCTCTCTCTGGCCATCGTACCTGAGCCACCACTACCCTAACATCTCCTGACAGCTGTACCCAGGAACTTGCTGAGCGCTTGTTCTAGTTCTTCCCTGTGCATCTGCAGAGTTGTAGGTCTACTTTCAACTACAGAAACAAATGGACATCCGTGCCCTGGCTAAGACCACCTAATGCGTGACAAGCATGTCCAGGCATTCACACAGTAGTCTTGCATAATGAATGGTAAACAGTGGATTTTAGTTCTTCATCTAATACTATAATATGTCCATTAGGTTAAATAAGAGCTCTTACCTAACAATTTTTACCCCCTAAAACCTCACTGTAAAAGGTGGGGTGGTTTTTCTTTTTTCCAGTTGGAAAGACTCTTCATTCAGTATTGGTACAGAAAAAGTGGAGTGCTTCCAAACAGGCCAACATTTCCATTTAAAAAAGTGTAGAAATTAAACTTTGTAAATAGAAAGATGAGTGACAGCCTAGAGGTTAAATCATCTAAAGTAAATGGTCTTGTATGTACCATGCAAGTTTGTCTCTCTCTCTTGAGCCCAGGGATTTTTGTGGTTGGACTACAGGCCTAATCTGTTTTGCCAACCATAGACACCGTCTCCAGTTAGAGCTCCAGAAGCTCTGACATCAATAGCATTTCCGTAGGGTGGCAGATATGGAGACAGAGGGTGTGTAGTCATTCAGTGAGCTATCAGGTGGTAGTGTCATTTTACTCTTGAGGAGATGGGTACAGAGTGACGGTCAGGGTCGCAGAGATAGAACTGGTCATTAGACTGGCACTTTTAGCACCTTGGTTCTGAGAAGAACTTAACCGCACATAGGTGCATGTTACTAAGTTTCCTGGTGAGGCTGCTGCTATGTATGAATAAGATAATAATAATAATATATTAGGAGAAAAATGGGTTAGGTGCGTATTTCATACCTGAAAATTTTAGTGTTTAAATGGGGGAAAAGGGGAGCAATTTACCAAAATTTAGGTCTGGAAGAGACCTTGGGAATTGCAGTGAGAGAATGCTGCTAATCTTATTTTTTTTGTTTTTAGTTTGGTTTTTTTTACTTTTATTTAATCTTGATTTTGTTTTTCATAATTTGCTAAGGTTATTATTCACTGTTTATATTGTCTGCCCTTTTAAAGCCCCTTTTGAGAAAAATTTTTTATGAATAAAAAAGCAATTTCCAACTGTAAAACACACACATTTTCTGAGAAGATTAATACAGTGAAGCTTGGGCTACCAGCCCCCTCCCTCCTGAGCACCCCTTATCCTGGCCTTGCACCCATGAGGCAGTTTGTCACAGATAGCACACAAAAGAACTAAAAGAACCGCGGGGTTGGCATAACCGTGGTACTTCAGGTTCCTTTCAGACCATGGGACAGTGGACATCTTAAAGGACACTCCCTTAAGCTTATGTGTGGTCCTAGAACAGTAAGCTGTTGACTTGTTACAGCTCTCTAGAAAACAGCTACCAGGATAAAACACCACCTATACCTTAATTCTGAGGTGAGATTTTATTGTTATCTTACTTACTGCAGAGATTGTTGAGACACCTGTCATCCTTTGGGCAATCACTGCAAGTGGTTCCTTGCTTGTATGGCCACGTTGGGTAATTTCCTCTGTGAAGCAGAAGACGGTTAGTGGAGGGCCCTCGACACAATTGTGCTTTACTCTGAATGCCTGACCAGGTCCAGAATCAGATGGCTAAGAAGACGGAAGCAAGCAGAAGTCTGCTAATATTTGGAGGGTGTATAATTTATACCATCTCATTTAACTATGATCACTCTGAGAATGAATTCGTTTTGTTTCTGTTTAGCAGGTAAGGAAACGAGGTCTGGAAGGTTAATAACTCCCCCCAAAATCTCAGATTATATTTATATATATGAGTCAGGAAGAAATCTAGAAATGTCTTATGTTGGAATTTTTTTTCTACTTAACCCAAAGCCTCTATGATTACTTCCATCCAAACACTGCCTATCCTAGAAAAACAATTCCATGTTCTCTATATTTTCAGTGTACCAGGACACTATAGTTTATACTAGATACATTATTGGGCTGGGGTAATGAACACCAAAAGAAAATGATGGGAAAACTAGAAACAGTTCACTTGCATATAAACAATGATGTGACTAGTAACTGTGATAATTACTGTAAGAAAAGAGCTAAGGTACGGGGAGAGCTCTGGAAAATGCCTGCCATGCAACCACAAAGACCCCATGTTCATTCCCCAACTTTTTCTGAAACGCCAAGAGTGGCAGTGCTTGTTTGAAGCGCTAGCTTTAGGGAGTTAGGCAGGTAGGTCTCGAACTCACTGAGTGACCAGCGAGCCCCTGGTCCCAGCGAGTAATATCATCGAGAGATGGCTCAGTGGTTATGAGCCCCTGGGTTCAGTTCCTAGCACCCACGTGTTGCTTCACACAACAATCCATGACTCCTGACCTTGGTTCCAGAGGATCCGACACCCTCTTCTGATCTCTGAAGACACCAGGTACACACATGGTACACATAGAAACGTGTAAGGAAACCAAACACATGAACAAGTCTAGATTAAAAACCGCGCATGCCAACACATACATGTGTGCCGGCACACGTGCATCTCCTAACCCCATACCAACACATGTGTGCCTGCACATGTGCATCTCCTAACCCCCACATCAACATGCATGTGTGCCTGCACATGTGCATTTCCTAACCCCCACATCAACATGCATGTGTGCCTGCACATGTGCATCTCCTAACCCCCACAACATACATGTGTGCCTGCACACACATACATCTCTGTACCCCCTCGCCAACACACATGGGCACCTGCACACATGCGTATTGTGCCCCCCACACCAACATACATGTATACTTGCACACATGTGCATCTGTTCCCCCAACACCACTGTTTTTGTAATTATTAGAACCAAGCAGCAAAATGTCTATCTCTGGTCTGACCACAGGCTTCTGAGTATGTAGGACTCACAAGCACAGTAAAGTAGAATTGCTTTTCTCATTGCCAGAGGGGACAAACTGTTTCCACCTGAAAAACTCAACTGGCAAAAGAATTAATATGAATTGAGCAATTCCACCTTATCTATTTTTAAGTGTGGGAAGTATTCTATTATTTTAATAAAATAAGTTAATATAAATCCTCCTTTCTTGTATTATATATCAATTTATGTCCCTGGTAAGCATTTTGATCTTGTTACTCTTAAAGATGAAGGCCTTCTGTAGTGTTAATAAAGCTCACACACATACACATACACATACATACCGGGAAAATGTATTAGAATATTAATGGAGTATGTCTCCAGGTAGAGAATTTAAAGGCCTTGCGATTTTTCTTTATACATTTTCTATATTGAAGATGCATACCTGTAATAATATATATCTGAATTTAATTCAGGCACTTACGCTGGTCCATAGTTGCATATAAAATGTGCTCCATTGGAAAGCTTTTCAAAGTTACCAACTCTAGGGCAAAATTGCACCGCACAGCCAACCTTGTAACTGTCTGCCCAAACAACCTGAAAGCACAGGAGAGTGTCTTAGCATAGAAATGAGCTATTGATTATCGTCAGGGCTTCGTAATTATGGGAAGAAACTCTAAGGGTACAACATTCTTTACCAGGGAAATTTTGGGTGCTCAAAATTCCAATGAATTCTCTGAGCCAGAAACTCTCAACTGTGGTCACAACCACTTTAAGGTCACATCTCAGATCTCCTACATATCATATATTTATATTAGGATTCATAGCAGTAGCAAAATTACAGTTGTGAAGTAACAAAACAGTTTTATGCTTGGGGGTCACCACAACACAAGGAACTGTATTAAAGGGTCACAACATTAAGAAGGATGGGAACGATTGCTCTAAGCCATGCTTCCTATAGGAAGCTACAGCAATAAAATAAAACAGGGTAACCTGACGGATTGAAGAAAGCAGCTGATTCAAAGAGGTGTTGAGGGGAGCCCTCCGAAATGCCTTTGAAGTGAGACACAAGTGATGAGGATGTGGACTGAGAAGAAACAGAAGACATGACAATGGACAACATCCATTCTCAGAGATTAAGCTTACTGGGGTGCAAGTCCCTAGACATGTTAGAGTTGCAGAAAAAGAAAAAAAAAACGCAAAGTGGAGCCTCAAGAGAGGACCAAACCAAAGGAATTTGTTGTTAAGTAACAAAATACTCTTTCTGGTATCTTAGCAAGGTCCACTTAGTGCTTAGGAAGTGAACTGAGGCGAGCAAGGGAAGGAGGAGGCAATGCTGGAGGCTGTTTCCACTGTGAAGAATGAACACACGCTGGGCGGTGGTGGTGCACGCCTTTAATACCAGCATAGGACAGGCTCCATCACTACAGAGAAACCCTGTCTCAAACAGAAAAGAATAAAAAGGGAAGGAAGGAAGGAAGGAAAGAGAGAGAGAGAGGAGAGAGAAAAGAAAGAAAGGAAAGAAAAAGGAAGGAAGGAAGAAAGGACATAAGGCAACTCACTCTTGGGTAATGAAATTCCTAGAAACTGATGGAGGTCACACCTGACAGGTGTAACTGAAAACATTTTGTTTTAAATATGGGAAGCATTTGAGTTTGGGACCCAAGTGATGTTTATTGAGACAGACAACTAGGGAATATTCAAGGTGGGTGGGAATATTGAAGGTGGGTAGGAACATGGGCACAGGGTTCTGTTCAGAACATGTTTGGGGCTGCCCGGTAAAGGCAGGCAGAGCTGCTGGCCTTAAACATCTGCAGTTCAGAGGATGGGTTCGCAACAGAGATAGAAAACTGGAGGGCACAAGGCTAAATCAGACCATATAGGCAAGGAAAAAATGGGGTAACTGCAAACCTGGGTTAAAGAAGTACAGTCACTTAAACAGATGGAAAATGTGGTCCCTGGTGTAGAGGAAATGGAGAACAGAGCTGGTTCCCAAGGAGACAGCTGTGCTGTCAAACTGGGTCTCATCCTCACAGGAGCTCCAGACTTAGTTTATTATGCTGCTGCATAGTTAGCACCTTCGGTGGTCCTCCCTCTCCCTCTCGGTTTTTCAAGACAGGGTTTCTGTGTGTAACAGTCCTGGCTGTCTTGAAACTCACTCTGTAGACCAGGCTGGCCTCGAACTCACAGAGATCCACCTGCCTTTGCCTCCTGAGTGCTCGGATTAAAGGCATGCGCCACCACTGCCCGGCTCTTCTTCATTCCACCTCTTCATTTCCCACCTATTCCCGTAAATCATGTGGCTCATCTTGACTAAGAATGATCCTGATAGAACATCCCCATTGTCTCAGTGTGTGGGCTGATTGCTCTTCGAGCTGATGAGGGAGGGGGACTTGGTCGGGGGAGGGGGAGGGAAATGGGAGGCGGTGGCGGGGAGGAGGCAGAAATTTCTAATAAATAAAAAAAATATATGAAAATATTACAATAAAACCCATCACTGTGTATAATTAATATATACTAATAAAAAGCTTTACAGTGGTCTGAAAAAGAAAAGAATGATCAATTATCAAAGATTGCCAAAAACATTTGAAACCCTAACTAGCTCTTTAAGACAAACCAACCATTTATACAAAAATATACTTTAAAATTAACTTTTTGCCATAATTATCAAGCCATTTTGTGCCAAGGATTGTGCCAAATATGGGGGCACAGTGGTCACCTGGGACCTGCAGGAACTGGGCCTGCAGAAGAGGCCATCACGGAACTGTTCCATAGAGCTCTATTCACTATTACTGGTTCTAATACATGGGCTAGGACCACTCCTCTCAGGAAGTGGAGCTGAGCTGGAGCTTCTTTGGGGGCCACAGACATGTCTTTAAACACGGAGCTGAGTCCTGTGTGAGCATTTTCTTTCACAGTGTTTCACACTAAAGATCCTTCATCTTTGGATGTGCTTTTTCAGAAATGGGCAAATATTGCTTAGCATGCATGGTATGCTTTAGTTAGTATGTTAGCTGTTAGTCACTGACACAAAATTTCAGAGGGAAGGCATGTTGCAGACCATGATCTCAGGATGTCCCAGGTCATATAATCTGTGTTTTATGTCATGATCTCAGGATGTTTTATGTCATGATCTCGGGGGGGGGGGGTTCTAGGTCATGATCTCAGGGGATTCTAGGTCATGATCCCAGGGGGTTATAGGTCATGATCTCAGGGGGTTCTAGGTCATGATCTCAAGGGATTCTTGGTCACGATCTCAGGATATGCTCAGTTGTCATCATTACCTTTAGGTCTGTGATGAGGTTTATAGAAACCAGTTACATCTTGTGGTGTCCAGTGAATCAAAGAGAGAAAAGAGGGTAAAGTCCCTATATCTTTTTCAAGTGAATACCCCTATCTTCCTTTGCCCGAACCCCACCTAAGTAAAGCTTTCACTATTTCCCTACAGTGCTTCAGGCCTTCAGGAGACCTTGATGATCTCAACCCTTACAATTTTCAAAGTTGGGTTAACTGGATATGGTACTTCACACCTGTAATCCCAGCACTTGGGGAACTGAAACAGGAAGCGCACTGGGAGTTCAAGGCCTACCTGGGCTACACAGTGAATCTCAGGCCAGTCTGGGCCATAGAGTTGGTCCTGTTGTTATCTTTACCTAAGAGTCAAAGCAGCAAGCCAGGGTCACACAGCATCAAGGCAGAATCTGAACTCAGATCCAAATTGAATCTGGAACTTTTCCCCTAGTGAATCCATTAAACAAAAATGGGAAGTTGCTAGCCTGTCTCCAGTGACAGGTAAAATGTTGAAGTAGAGTCAAGAAATACTGTGCTGTTCACAGAGAGATACTCAATTGAACTCATGCCCCATACTCTGTACCAGCTATCACTGGGCCACGGATGTAAACAACATCATTTGCATAAAGATGAGGGTAAGGAGAGGTTACAATCCCCACCTTAGGTAACTTTCCAGCAGGAAGCTGGAGTGACTGAATTGTCCTGAAACCCACAGCACAGTCTCCTCGAAGGCTGAAGCAGGAATTGTAGCCAAGATATGGCAACATCCTCTTCCAACGTGATTCATTAGAAAATTAGATCCTGATAGCTAATCTTTGCTAAGTGCTTACCAACAAGTACTGGCCCAGATTCCTCCACATCACCCTCTGAGAAATGAACTTATGGGCCCATACTTTATTGGGTTGCAGTCTCAGAGATATGAGTCAAGAGAAACAGGAGTGAGGCAGGGAAGGCAGGATATGGTTGGAAATTGTTTCTGGCTCCCAGGCTAGCTCCTGCTGATTTGGGGAGACACATGTGTGCATGACTAGCCCAGTGCAAGACACCTGACATAGGTCATGTGTGCAAAGAAGACACAGAAACTATATAGCCAAGGGCCCACACAGTGTCCCACACTACAAGAGATGTATGACTTGCCTCTTGAAAAGTGGAATTTGTCAAATGAAAAGAAAGGCTTTAGGATCAATTAACTAGGTATAGAAGGTGTACAATGTATATGAATAAGCCTGGTGCTTTAGTTGAATTTTAAGTAACTGAGCATGCAAAATACGTGGCCCTCAGAAGATGGCTCACTTTATAATAGACTTGTAAGCCATACTTGTATGCCCTTATCCTAGGGAGTCAAAATAAGAGGAGTAAGGTCAGGTTCATATCATATAGACTAGAGGCAGCGGAAATGCCCCTAAAATGTCTCCCTTTACACCCATAGGGGAAAAGGAGGGCTTGTACTTGGGACATGAGAAAACTGACTTCCAAAATCATATCTATCTCTCATATAGATATGAGATCAAATTAGTGGTCCTAACCGCTTCAGTAGAGGATGTAACTCTGGACAACCATTTTATAAGTGAGCATGGGCTTTACACCTTTCTAGGCTGATAGACTCAATCAGTTCTTACCAGAAGCATAGAAGGGAGGTTCTACCATCCATATGTCAACAAATCGAGTTGGAGAGTTTACGATGCTTCCCTAAAGCCACTTAGCTAGCGAGGAGAGTTCAGATTCGCTTATCAGAGACATTGCAAAGCTTTAAGTAACATAACATTCAGGCTATCTCATACGGGTATCTCATACTGCCTGATCTGATGGCTCTGGCATATGACCTTTTCCATGTAACTAATTCTCCAAGTACATTTACCTCTCATAATTTATAATATAATCATATTTATAATACTAGCCCACTATATATTTTCTCAACTCCGCGTTCAGTTTTCCACCTTTAAAAAGATGATTCTAAGAGGCTGTAGGGATGTACTTACCTGAGTGTAATGACCACAGACACCCGTGCATCTCCTAGTCCTGAAGTCGTAGTACTTGACTTCATCGTACCAGGATGAGATGGCTGAAGATACTGAAAAGAGGCTTAAAGATCCAGTCCAGATATTTTCTCCCACTGCGGTAAAGTTCGGGTGCAGCCGTGATTTCAGCCGTGGATTGTGTTCAAACTGACAAACTTTTGCCCACGATTTTGCAATGCGGGCTAGGTCTGAGTCCCAAGACTGAAAAATAATTAAATGATATACGAGTCAAAGAAATTTCTTCCTCAAAACTGTGACGATGCAAGGCCCTTTGCCTGCTCATCCAGATGTGCAGAGCCCACTGGATACTACTTACTTTACCAACTGGTTGTGCTTCCTTTTGGAGTGGGAGTCAAAGCAGCAAATGAAGAGTGGCGAGAATTGCGGAGGAGCTACAGCCTAGAGTAACTAACTAGTCACAGCCCGCTAACTAGGGCAAGAATATGAGGTCATAGGTCAGAGAATCTGACTAGGAGAGGAGAAGCAGAAGCATCCATGTCTGCAGGTGACAGAGGCGCTCAGAGCTGGAAAAGTCCAGTGAGGAAGCGGGGCAAACAGATTCCGCAAGCTACCCTGTGGTAGCTTCTGTATGACATAGTAGTGAACTTGCTAAGAAACAAACAAACAAAAAAAAAAAAAAGAAACCTCCAGAATAGTTCCATTCCGGTAGTCCTCTGACAATAAATTATGTAAGAATCAACCTTACTACAGCGGTGAAAGACCTCTATAATGAGAACCAAACACTGAAGACAGATATTGTAGAAGACACCACAGCGATGGTTTTCCACCTGGGGCTCATGACCCTTTTGAAGGAGAAGGATCCTTTCACAGGGGTAGCATACTAGATATTTACATTATGATTCATAACAGCAAAACTACAGTTATGAAGTAGCAATGAAAATAATTTTATGGTTGGGGGTCACCGCGGCACAAGGAACTGTATTGAAGGGTCACAGCGTTAGGAAGGTTGAGAACCACTGCACTAGAGAGTGGGAAAACTGTTCCTGCTCATGGATGTTTTTGTTGTTGATATTTTCAAATGGCAGTACCGATGAAAGATGTTTGCAGATTCACTTCACTGCCAATGCTTCCTTCCTAAAGCTACAAAGAAGAAAGTCAGAAAGTTAACACAGAAACACAAGAGACTCCATATGCCAAAGGACTTCTGAGCAAAAGTATCACCGATAGAAGAATTGTCACTCTGGACTTCAAAAATATAAAGCGTGGTCAGAAAACAGTCTACTGGAAGAGGACACTAGACAAATGGTGTCTGGCTGGGGACACTGGATAAGCACACATGGAAACATGAACCTGGGTTCTTCCAGTGTGTAAAAAACCAAGTCAGAATGTGTTACAAAAAACCTTAAGACTTTTGTCAGCGAGGTCCCTGGCCAGCAAGGGGCCCTGATCCTGTACCAGAAGATCCATCAGAGGGGTGAGTGTGTTCCTGACCCGTGGCAGAAGACTGGGAAATGGAGCACAGACATTCCTCAACCCCCTAAACTTCCTGGTCATTCTGCAGGGTCTACTCTCTCCTACTACTGCCTCTCTCTTCCTGTCCCATCCCAGCTTGCTCTCAGACACCCCCTCCCTTCTTCCTCCCTTCCTCAGGGCCATAAGATCCCCCAGCTCAGCCTGCTTGGGTGCTGGGACAGGGTGGTGAGTGCAACCAGGCAGGAGTTCCTTTGCTTCAATAGCCTGCCGGCAGCAAGGTAGGCCTTTTGTCAGCGAGGTCCCTGGCAAGCAAGGGAACCTGATCCTGTACCAGAAGTTCCATAGGAGAGCATTTGAAGGAAGAGATGGGCAGGCACCAATGCAAGAATTCCTCTAAAAATCTGAAAAACAACATGAAAACACCAGAACCCAGCGATCTTACAACAGGACTTGAACATCCTAATCCAGAAGAAGTAGAAAAAATTGACATTATGAAAGTGATAGAGTCCCTTAAACAGGATGTGAAAAACTCCCTTAAAGAAATGGATGAGAAGAATAGCAAAAAGTTTGAAGAAATGAATAAATCTGTAAAAGATACCCTAGGAAACCAAGAAAAAAACAGTCAAACAGATAATGGAAACAGTTAAGACTTGAAAACTGAAATGGAGGCAATGAAGAAAACACAAGCCGAGGGCCTGCTGGATATGGAAAATCTAGGTAAATGAATAGAGACTACAGAAACAAGCATAACCAACAGAATACAAGAGATAGAAGAAAGAATCTCCAAATCTGAAGACACCATAGAGAAAATAAATGCACTGATCAAAGAAAACAGCAAATCCAACAAATTCTCATCACAAAACATTCAGGAAATCTGGGACACAATAAAAAGACCAAACCTAAGAACAATAGGGGTAGAAGAAGGAGAAGAATTACAGCTTAAAGGCCCAGAAAATATATTCAACAAAATTATAGAAGAAAACTTTCCCAACCTAAAAAAAGATATTCCTATGAAGGTTCAAGAAGCATACAGAACACCGAATAGACTGGATCAAAAAAAAAAAAATCCCCTCGCCATTTAATAATCAAAACACAAAACATACAGAATAAAGAAAGAATATTAAGAGCTGCAAAGGAAAAAGGTCAAGTAATTTATAAAGGTAAACCTATCAGACTTATACCGGACTTCTCTATGGAAACCATAAAATTCAGAAGGTCCTGGATAGATGTACTGCAGAAACTAAGAAACCATGGATGCAAGCTCAGACTACTGTACCCAGCCAAGCTTTCATTCACTATCAATGGAGAAAACAAAATATTCCAGGATAAAAACAAATTTAAACAATGCGTAGCCACAAATCCAGCCTTGCAGAAAGTAATAGAAGGAAAATCACAACCCAAGGAATCCAACGTTGCCCAAAATAACTCAGACATCTAGCAAGCCTTCACCAGCACAACTCAAAAAAGGGAAACACACACATTCTACTACCAAAAACAAAAAAATTAAAAATAACTGGAGTTAACAACCACTGGTCATTATTATCACTTAATATCAATGAACTCAATTCACGTATAAAAAGGCACAGGCTAAGAGATTGGATACAAAAACAGGATCCAACATTCTGCTGTTTACAAGAAACACACCTCAACCACAAAGACAGACATCTAATCAGAGTAAGGGATTGGGAAACGGTTTTTCAAGCAAATGGACCTAAAAACCAAGCAGGTGGGGCCATACTAATTTCTAACAAAATTGCCTTCAAACTAAAATCAATCAGAAGAGATGGAGATGGACATTTTATACTCATAACAGGAACAGTTCATCAGGATGAAGTCTCAATCCTGAATATCTATGCCCCTAATATAAAAGCACCCACCTATGTAAAAGAAACATTACTGGAACTCAAGGCAGACATCAAGCCACACACACTAATAGTAGGAGACTTTAACACTTCTCTCTCACCAATGGACAGGTCAATCAGACAGAAACCTAACAGAGAAATAAGAGAATTAATGGAGGTAATGAAGCAAATGGACTTAACAGACATCTATAGAGCATTCCACCCAAAGAGGAAAGAATATACCTTCTTCTCTGCAGCTCATGGAACCTTCTCGAAAATTGACCACATACTCACTAACAAAAGCAAACTTCCACAGATACAAAAAAATATTAGTAAGCACCTGTGTCTTATTGGATCACCATGGAATAAAGTTAGAATTTAACAATAATTCTACCCCCAGAAAGCCTACAAACGCTTGGAAGCTGAACAGTCAACTACTGAACCACCCCTGAGTCAGAAAACAAATAAAGAAATTAAAGTCTTCCTTGGATTCAATGAAAATAAAGACACAACATACCCAAACCTATGGGACACTATTAAAGCAGTGCTAAGAGGATGATGTGGGAGTGATTTCTTTCTAATCTGTTGCTTTCATTGGTTAATTAATAAAGAAACTGCCTTGGCCCATTTGATAGGCCAACCTTTAGGTAGGTAGAGTAGACAGAACAGAATGCTGGGAGAAAGAAGCCAAATCAGGTAGTCGCCATGATTCTCCCACTCCAGACAGACGCATAAGATCTTTCCTGGTAAGCCAGCTCATGGTGCTACACAGAATATTAGAAATGGGTTAGATCAATATATAAGAGCTAGCCAATAAGAGGCTGGAACTAATGGGCCTGGCAGTGTTTAAAAGAATACAGTTTCCATGTAAGTATTTCGGGTAAAGCTATCCGGGTGGCAGAATACAGCCCCGCCAGCTCCTAATGCAAAAAGAGGAAAGTTCATAGCTCTAAGCGCCCACTAAAAAAAAAAAAAAAAAAAAAAAGACGGAGAAAGCTCACATTAGAGACTTAACAGCACAGCTGAAAGCTCTAGGAAAAAAAAGAAGCAGACTCACCCAGGAGGAGTAGAAGACTGGAAATAATCAAACTGAGGGCTAAAATCAACAAAATAGAAACACAGAAAACAATCCAAAGAATCAATGAAACAAAGAGCTGGTTCTTTGAGAAAGTCAACAAGATTGACAAACCTTTATCCAAACTAATCAAAAGGCAGAGAGAGAACATGCAAATTAACAAGATCAGAAATGAAAAGGGGGATATAACAGATACTGAAGAAATTCAGAGAATCATTAGATCCTACTACAAAAGCTTATTTGCCACAAAGTTGGAAAATGTAAAAGAAATGGACTTGTTTTTAGATAAGTACCACTTACCAAAGTTAAATCAATACCTGGTGAACAATTTAAACAGACTTATTAAGTCTTGAGGAAATAGAAGCTGTCATAAAAATCCTCCCAACCAAAAAAAAAAAAAAAAAAAGCCCAGGACCTGATGGTTTTAATGCAGAATTTTATCAGATCTTCCAAGAAGAGCTGATACCTATATTCCTTAATGTGTTTCACATAATAGAATCAGAAGAGTCATTGCCAAACTCTTTTTACAAAGCTACAGTCACCCTGATTCCAAAACCATACAAAGACCCAACCAAGAAAGAGAATTACAGACCAATCTCACTCATGAACATCGATGCAAAAATTCAATAAAATTCTGGCAAACAGAATCCGAGAACACATTAAAAAAATTATCCATTACGATCAAGGAGGCTTCATCCCTGAGATGAAGGGCTGGTTCAACATACAAAAATCTATCAATGTAATCCATCATATAAATAAACAAAGAAAAAAAACCATATGATAATTTCATTAGATGTGAAAAAAGGATTTGACAAAATTCAACACCCCTTTATGATAAAGGTCTTGGAAAGATTAGGGATACAAAGGTCATGCCTAAATATAATAAACACAATATATAGCAAGCCAACAGGTAATATCAAATTAAATGGAGAGAAACTCCAAGCCATTTCACTAAAATCAGGCAAAAGACAAGGCTGTTCACTCTCATCATATCTCTTCAACATAGTTCTTGAAGTTCTAGCAGTAGCAATAAGACAACATAAGGAGATCAAGGGGATTCGAATCGGAAAGGACGAAGTCAAACTTGCGTTATTTGCAGATGATATGATAGTGTGACCCCAAACCTCTACCAAAGAACTCCTACAGATGGTAAATAACTTCAGTGAAGTGGCAGGTTAAAAGATCAACTCAAAAAAATCAGTAGCCCTCCTATATACAAAGGATAGAGAAGCAGAAAGGAAATTCAGAGAAACTTCACTTTTACGATAGCCACAAATTGTATAAAGTATCTTGGGGTAACTCTAACCAAGGAAGTGAAAGATCTATTTGACAAGAACTTTAAGGCATTGAAGAAAGAAATCGAAGAGGACACCAGAAAATGGAAAGACCTCCCATGCTCTTGGATGGGTAGGATCAACATAGTAAAAATGACATTTCTACCAAAGGCAATTTATAAATTCAACACAATCCCCATTAAAATCCCAACAAAATTCTTGACAGACCTTAAGAGAACAATAATCAACTTTATATGGAAAAACAAAAAACCCAGAATAGCCAAAACAATCTTATACAATAAAGGAACTTCTGGAGGCATTACCATCCCTGACTTCAAACTCTATTACAGAGCTACGGTAATGAAAACAGCTTGGTACTGGTGGAAAAATAGGGAACTTGACCAATGGAAGAGAATAGAAGACCCGGATATTAACCCACAAACCTATGAACACCTGATTTTTGACAAAGGAGCTAAAAGTATACAATGGAAGAAAGGAAGCTTATTCAACAAACGGTGCTGGCACAACTGGATGTCAGCCTGTAGAAGAATGAAAACAGACCCATATCTATCACCATGCACAAAACTCAAGTACAAATGGATTAAAGGCCTCAATATCAATCTGAACACATGGAACCTGATGAAGTGGGAAGTAGTCTACAACATATGGGCACAGGAGACCACTTCCTACGTATAACCCCAGTAACACAGACAATAAGGGCAACATTGAATAAATGGGACCTCCTAAAACTGAGAAGCTTCTGTAAAGCAAAGGACACTGTCATTAAGACAAAAAAGGCAACCTACTGACTGGGAGAAGATCTTCACCAACCCCGCAATAGACATAGGTCTGATCTCCAAAATATATATAAAGAACTCAAGAAACTAGACTTTAAAATGCTAATTAACCCAATTAAAAAATGGGGCACTGAACTGAACAGAGAATTCTCAACAGAAGAAGTTCAAATGGCCAAAAGACACTTGAGGTCATGCTCAACCTCCTTAGCGATCAGGGAAATGCAAATTAAAACAACTTTGAAATACCATCTTGCACCTGTCAGAATGGCTAAAATCAAAAACACCAATGATAGCCTTTGCTGGAGAGGATGTGGGGTAAGGGGAACATTCATCCATTGCTGGTGGGAATGAATCTTGTGCAACCACTTTGAAAATCAGTGTGGCGGTTTCTCAGGAAATTTCGGATCAACTTACTCCAGGATCCAGCAATACCACTCCTGGGAATATACCTGAGAGATGCCCTATCATACTACAAAAGCATCTGTTCAACTATGTTAATAGCAGCATTATTTGTAATAGCCAGAACCTGGAAACAACCTAGATGCCCCTCAATGGAAGAATGGATAAAGAATGTGTGGAATATATACATATTAGAGTACTACTCAGCGGTAAAAAACAATGACATCTTGAATTTTACATGCAAATGATGGAAATAGAAAACACTATCCTGAGTGAGGTAACCCAGACCCCAAAAAGACGAATATGGTATGTACTCACTCATTAGTGGATTCTAGCCATAAATAAAGGACTTTGAGACTATAATTCATGATACTAGAGAAGCTAAATAGGAAGGTGAACCCAAAGAAAAACATGTAGTTATCCTCCTGAACATTGGAAGTAGACAAGATTGCCAGGCAAAAATTGAGAGCTTGAGGGGTGGGGTGGGGATAAGGGCAGATGGGAAGAGAGAAGGGAGAAGGGGAGGGTGGGGAGAGCTTGGGGGAATGGGATGGTTGGTATGGAGAAAGAGTGGATATGGGAGCAAGGAATTATATATCTTGATTAAGGGAGCCATTTTAGGGTTGGCAAGAGACTGGACACTAGAGGGGTTCCCAGGTGTCCAAGAAGATGTCCCCAGCTTGTTCCTTGAGCAGCTGAGGAGAGAGAGCCTGAACTGGCCTTATCCTATAGGCACACTGATGAATATCTTGCATATCACCATAGAACTCATCTGGTGATGGATGGAGATAGAGACAGAGACCCACACTGGAGCACTAGACTGAGCTCCCAAGGTACAAATGAGGAGCAGGAGGAGGGAGACCATGAGCAAGGAAGTCAGGACCAGGAGGAGTGCGCCCACCCACTGAGACGGTGGGGCTGATCTAATGGGAACTCACCAAGGCCAGCTGGACTGGGACTGATGGAGCATGTGATCAAACCAGACTCTCTGAACGTGGCTGACAAGGAGGGCTGACTGAGAAGCCAAGGACAATGGCACTGGGTTTTGATTCTACTGCATGTACTGGCTTTGTGGGAACCTAGTCTGTTTGGATGCTCACCTTTCTAGACCTGGATGGAGTGGGGAGGACCTAGGACTTCCCACAGGGCAGAGAACCCTGACTGCTCTTTGGTCTGGAGAGTGAGGGGGAGGGGGAATGGAGTGAAGGGGGAAGGAAATGGGAGGAGGGGAGGAGGTGAAAATTTGTAATAATATTATAAAAATAAAAATAAAAAATACCCTTAAGATGAGACCTGAAACTACCACAGCCAGTGCCTCAGTTCCACTTCCCTTTTTTCTATCTGTAGCTTTTCTTTCTTTTTTGACTAATTGCTTTGGCTAAGATTTCAGTATATGAGGCCTAGGTGATAATTTTCTGAGTAGGGCTTCAGTAGCTCTGGCAGAGAAAATGGCAATAGTAACGGCAGTGAGACTGCATCAACTAAAAACCATGGGCATAGTGGTGGCACTACCACAGCGAAGTGGCATCCTGAAGGAGGCAGAGAAATTGAGTATGATGGTACACACCTTTAATCACAACACTGAAGGTGGGATGCAGAGCATCAGGCTGATCTCATCGACATAGCAAGTTCCAGGCTAGCCAGGACTGGTGAGCGTGTATCTCAAAAAGATAAAAGGCAGAAAATATTTTCCAGATACTCATCCACCAATGGATTAATCTCCAAAATGAATTAAAAGTGTCGAACACGAACAGAATGAAAAAGCCAACAACCAACACAACTGAAGTGAACAGAGTCCTCAGAAGAAGTGTGGGTCAACATCCTTAGTTATTAGCGGTATGCAAAGGGAAAGAACAGTAAGAGCACATCCTACCCGAGTCAGTACAATATCTAATTCAGAAAATAAATGGCGTCAAAGACGTGGGTGGAGAAAAGTCCTAACAGGAACACAAACTAGTTCAGTCACTATGGAAATCAGTATATAGGGTCACCAAAAAATAGAGATGTAAGACTAACATGTGATTCCGCTATAGCATTTTTGGGCACATCTATCTACAGGAATCTACACTTTAGGGATATCTGCATATCCATGTCTATTGTGGTACTATTGGCAATATCCAAGCTCTGGGTTACATATGATTGTTCACAGATAGATGAAGGGATAAGGGAAGTGTGTGTGTGTGTGTGTGTGTGTGTGTGTGTGTGTATTTCTATACATACTGTGGAGTATTGTTGAGTCAAACTCAGGACATTCGCAGGAGAATGGATGGATTGGAGATCACCAGGTTAAGCGAAATAGAGCAGATTCCGAAGAGGCACAGGATCAGAGGGCCAGAGGACCAAAAGGCCAAAAGGGCAATAATCAAAGCATGATGTAAGAAATTATCATAATGAAGTCACCATTATTTTATACAGAACACGATAGAAAGAAAAACAATCCTTAAGACACAGAAAGAACCGTCACACATACTAACAGGAAAAGAAGTTGCAGCAAGGAGAAGTCTATGGCTCGTGGCTGGTGAAAGGGAAGTATCCAGAAAGAACTGAACCATGCTGCCTATGGCATTGCTTAAGACTGAGTTGGAGGGAGGGAAGGAAGGAAGGAAGAAGGAAAGGAGGAAGGAAAGAAGGGAGGGAGGGATCCATTGTGTAGGTTCTGATCACATGCCAAGTGTACTGCACACAGCAATCACAAGCAAAACAACAACAACAAAAACATTTGGGATTACCCAGAATTCACACCCAGCTAAGCACAGGCAGGCTGCCTCTGATGGATGCATGCCACAAACACTGTTCGCACACTCACCATGTACAGCATGTTCCTTGCTGTCGGATTCACTTTGGACCGGTGCTGGTTGTGGATTTGAACACATTGTTGGATGAAATCCTCATTGGTTATATCTGGCAAAGTACTTGCGGTATATGAAGAACTAGAAATGGAAGAAGCCATCCAGACCATCATAGCAAGGGTGGCCTGCATGCTGCCTCTGGCTGCGGTTGGACCTAGAACCCAGAGCCCCTGGGTTCTGATAGAATGCTTGGTTCTATTTTCAGACCTTTTCTTCTGTGCTTGAAGGTTGAACCCAGGGGCGATTGTGTTGGGCAAGGGCTCTGCCCCTGAGCTACATCTGCAGCACTTGGGTTCTTTGTGACCGGCCCCACCAAGCACAGTTGACCTCAGCTGGAGAAGTCTGAAAGCAGAACGTTGAGTTGTTGTGAAACTCAGAGCTGGATTTCTCCATATATGGCTTGCAGCTCAGTTTGTTGTTAACCCTGTCCCCGTCGGTGCTTCTCGGTGACACAGCACCTACAAAATACAGATTCTTGTTAGGCGGCATCAAGCTTGGAGCTGAGGTATTTCCAAAGGAATTTCTGTGGGCTCCAGAAATACGTCCTGTGTTAGTCAGGCTTCTCTAAAGGAACAGAAATGACAGACTATATGTATTCACGGGGGATCTGTTACACTGGCTTAGAGAATGTGGCCTGGGGGGTTCCCCAATGGTTGACTCATGCCAGTAGAGGCGAGACGCTGGTAGATGTTCAGTCTCTGAGGAGGGATGTCGCAAGCAGTCAAATTCTGGAGTTGGCACCCTGGGGGATTCCTGAAGAGCTGCTGGCTTTCCGTCTACACTGGACTCCTGAAGGAGCCGAGTTTAACACCAACCACAACAGGAAATGAAGGAGCTTACCAGTCAAGAGGGGAGGCAGGCAAACCAAAAGCAATTTTCTTCCCGGTCCCCCTTTTACGAATGTGAGCTATCACCAGAAGGCAGAAGGCGTGGCTCAGATTTAGAGTGGGTCGCCCTGCTACAAATGATCTGAGTAAGAAAATTCCTCCCAGGAGTGCCCAGCTGCCTAGGTTTTTGTTGGTTCCAGATGTAGTCAATTTGACAACCAAGATTACCATCACGAATCTCTACCAAAGGACTTGCAAATGGTTTTTGCCAAACCTTTTTTGTTGGAATCCTCTGTGCAAACAGTGGTGGGAATACAGTGGTCCCTGCTTTACAGTTTATTATGAGCGCTGAGAACAGACAGTTTCCCATCCGGGCGTAGTGGTAAAGTCGAAGTTACAAGGTATGCACAGTTAGGAGATAACAGTAATAATAAATGCAAACAATTAAGGGTATTTACTGATAAACTTGCCAGCATCACCACTATATGTATTGAGACCATTATTAAGTAAAATAAAGGTTTTTAGGACATGGACAGCAATACCTAAAGTTTATCTGGAAAAAAAAAACTATTAAGTGACCAATAACTAATGACCCAAATGACAGTATAAATATACTGGACTAAAGTGGGGTGACTTTCAGCACGAAAAGCAAGTTCAGTGCCAAATTTAATGGTTGTTTGAGCACCCACCCCCCTTGCACACATGCAGCTCCCAGGACTTTTTATCTTAAAACTTGCCCTAGAGTTTTCTTTCCGTTGCGAGGACCAAACACGGGGCAGAAGAACTTGCGGGAGGAAAGGGTTTATGATGTGGTTAAGACTGTGAAGAATTCAAAAATAGAATTGTGAGACACGTACACACACAGGCATGCTTGGTGAAGGAGGCAGGGAGGAAGCCGTGGGGGGTGGCGTTTGAGTTTCGTTCTGTCATGGGTAGCTACTAGCTGTGAGACCTTGAACAACTTAGTACACTCCTAAGAACTTTCATGCCACACCCAGTTAGTGAGGGCAGTCCAGGCAGGGACTGAAGCAGAGACTAGGAAGAAATGCTATTTACTGCCTTGCTTGGCTTGCGTTCTTATAGTCCCCAGGACCACCTGCCTAGGGTGGCACTGCCCACAGTGGGCTGCGCTCTCCCATGCCAATTATGAATCAAAACTATGCCCCATGGACTTGCTCACAGCTGGTCTGATGGCTGCACTCTTTACTGGAGGGTTCTTCTCCCCGGTGAGTCCAGTTCCTGTCAAGTTGACAAAAACCTGGCCAGCATAATACCGAAATGATTCGTGCCTTTAATCTTTGCCACAGTGGTTGTTTTAGCAAATTCTGTTTCTAATTTTCTGCATTTTTATTGATTATTCGTTTTCTTACAGTGGAAATACACTATCTCTTGTAATAAGAAAACAAACGTAACAAGGTGAACAATGAGGGCTGATGAGACGCCAAGGACAATGGCATGGGGGTTTTGATCCTACTTAATATGCTGGCTTTGTGGGAGCCTAGCCAGTTTGGATGTTCACCTTCCTAGATATGGACGGAGGGGGGAGGACCTAGGACTTACCACAGGGCAGGGAACCCAGACTGCTCTTTGGACTGGAGAGGGAGGGGGAGAGAAGTGGGGGGAGGGGGAGAAGAGTGGGAGGAGGGGGAGAAGAGTGGGAGGAGGGGGAGGGAAATGGGAGGCTGGGAGGAGGTGGAAACTTTTTTTTTTCTCCTTTTCTCAATAAAAAAATATCATTCTAAAAAAATAAAAAAAAAACGTTATTTTGGAGAGTCATATGCAAATGAACACAGACAGGGCATGGTAAACCTGTACACAACATGAAAGGGTATTAGTACCCTCCTGTATCGTAACTGTCACTGCATGGGAGGGTGGAGAAGAAATGACTTAAGGCTCCATTATACTCTTATCCTCTCTAATTGGATTCTGGAAAGCCCTGGGCTCAAAAGCCTCCAGCACACCGATTCTCAATCTGTGGGTCATGACCCCCATGGGTCATTTGACCCTTTCACAGGGTTGCCCTAAACCATCAGAAAAAAAACCACATTTCTACTATGGTTCATGGCAGTAGAAAAATTAGTTATGAAATAGCAATGGAAATAATTTTATGGTTGGGGGGGTCACCACAACATGAGGAACTGTGTTCAAGGATGGCAGCCATCAGGAAAGTTGAGAACCACTGCTCTAGAGAGAGACTGTCTCTTCAGCTCCCACGTTCATTCAGTCACCACCCTTTCAAGCTGGGCAGTTCATCTTTGTAACCAGGAATTCCGACTTTGGGGGTCTTCCCGTCTGATGTAAGGTCTTACTCTCTAGTCGAGGCTGGCCTCAAATTTGTCATCCTCCTGCCTCAAGGGCTGAGATTACAGGCACGAGCTACCACACCTGGCTTCTATCTTTCGTTTTGAGACAGGGTCTCTCTAGTTTGTAGCCCTGGTTGTCCTGGAATTTACTAACAATCCAGACTGGTCTTGAACTCACGGAGGTCCACCCACTTCTGCCTCCCCAGTACTGGGATTAAAGGTGTGAGCTACCATAGCCAGCAAGATTCTCTAACATACTGCTGTTAATTCAGTCATGTGTATACATGCACATTTGAACACATATCTGTGTTTTAAAAAATACGATTTAAACATTCAAAGGTTTCATGGAGGCCATAATTTTATGCATTTTGTATCATTTTTTTTCATAGCCATAGTTTAAGAATGCTATTGGTTACAATAACTCTTTATAAATACTTCATGATCTGTATTCTCTACAGATGAATGCACCATAATTTGTGTGCTATTATATATACATATTCAAATTCTTTTAAATTTTTTCATAAATAATGCTGTAGAAATCTTTATAGAGAGAGAATAATGTGAAATTTCCTTTAGAACTACACTAATTTATATTAGTGTGTACTTATAAGGATGATATCTTAACAGACAATAAAGATACTTGTATATACATCATATTGGAAGGTAACAGTAGAGTGAATAGAAGCACCCAGAATAAATTTTATTTGGGAACAACTAGAGGTGTAGAACTTTAAGACAATTCTCAAGCCATTTCTGACAACTCTCAGTACTTCCCCTCCTCCCCTGGGAACCAAGGACAGAACAGCTATACATGCACGTACTGAGATGTTGGGAACTTTCCATCTCCCTGAATAGGGGCAAGATAAGCCTTAGGTGTTGTCTCAGTTACTGATGTTTTGACTCAGTCCCTGGGAAGGGGCAAAGTGACCCTGAGAAGTTTCCCCTTACCTCATCTGATCTGGCAACCACTCTCTAGCCAATTATTGGTAATAGCCTTTTTGAATAAGCTAATCATAATAGTTAAAGAACAACTCCCAGACACCCCCTTCCTTCTGTGGGTTTTTCCCTTTAAAAATAGCCTGTACAAGACATTCAGGGTCTTCTAGCCTCCAGACTGCTGGAAGACCCTGTCATGACAGAATTAATAAAATCCTCATGCTTTTACATCAGCTGTGATATGAGAGATGGTCTCTTGGGGTGACTCCTCCTCGGTGATTGGACGCTAGGGTCCAACAGAGGAAAATAAATCTCAGGATAGAACTAGGCTCAACTTCAAACATAATAAAGACCCCTGAGGAATTAAGAGTTATGAAGTGGAGGACATCAAGGGGACAGCAGAGTTAACAGTGCTGACGTCAAGACAGGAAGTTCAGATATCAAGATAGGAATGATTGACACACTCTAGACTGCCAGAAAAGCATTTTTTTGTAAAAGCTGGTCTGTTCAGGCTTAGCAAAGGGCCACAGATGAAGGCCTACCTAGCACAGCTGAGTATTAAGCGTGTCCCTAGGGGTTTGGTCAAGGAGTCTTGTCAATACTTAGCATCTCCCCCTTTTTGCAAGCTAGTTTTAGCTTATCACTTCCCGACTTTAGCTGATCATGGGGTACAGTTTTTCCAGAGATGGGGCTGACCTGGAACTTCCACATTCGCCCTGGGATTTGTGAGGTTATACCCCAAGAAGAAACGCTCCCAGATCAACATTATGGGTGCCAGGACCAGCGCTCACACTTGAAACAGCGGCTTAAAACACGAATTTGAAGGTAATTGTATCAGCCAGGGTTTCCATTGCTGCGACAAAATTCCCAGGAAGACACCTCAAACGAGAGTTTTAGGGGTTCAGTCCACGTTGTTTCTAGGCCAGGATAAGGTGACGCGTGTGGACACAGTATTGAGGAACAGTGCTGCATACCATTTGTGCAAGCAGTGAGCTAGGAAGAGGGTCAGGGGACAAAAGTGTATCTTTCCCGGGTGTGACCCCTAATGACCCCCTCCTCCCTGGGTGGTTGTCAACCACCATGTAGTTGCTGGGAATTGAACTCCGGTCCTTTGGAAGAACAGCCAGTGCTCTTAACCTCTGAGCCATCTCTCCAGCCCCCCTCCAATAGTTTCTTATGAATAAGTTTCCTGAAATCTATCAACTGGCTATCACATCCCCAATACATAAACCTGTGAGATATTTTCTTCAGACTATGCTGAGGGTGAATAGCAGGCACACCTAAACTCCCCAACATGGCTATAATTATTACAAATATATTCTAGACTTTCCATAGCACTGGTATGTTTTAGGTATTTAAAAGGCGTTTGTATTGTCGTGTCTCTCACTTCTC